GTCCTTGGTGGTTGGTGCGTAAATTTGAATAATAGTTGTATTAACTCATCTTCCTTGTAGGTGTATTGGTATTATCCTATCACTGACAGCATTGTCCTTCAGGATAGATCTTGAAATGTTCTTTTTGACGATAAATACACCACCAGTCTTCTTCAGTTTATCATTCCTGGCATAGTAGACCATATGATTGTCTGATTCGAAATGGCCAATACCAGTCCATTACAGCTCACTAATGCATAGGATATTGATGTTTATGCATTCCATTTCATTTGTTATTTTTTCTAATTTTCCTAGATTCATACTTCATACTTTCCACATTCCTATTATTAATGGATCTTTGCAGCTGTTTCTTCTCATTTTGAGTTGTGCCACCTCAGCAAATGAAGGTCTAGAAAGCTTAACTCATTCCGTGTCATTAAGGTCAACTGTACTTTGAGGAGGCAGCTCTCCTCCAGTTGTATTTTGAGTGACTTCCAACCGAGGGGCTCATCTTCCAGCACTATATCAGACAACGTTCCACTACTATTCATAATGTTTTTATTGGATAATTTTTTCAGAAGGAGACTGCCAGGTCCTTCTTCTTAGTCTGTCTTGTTCTGGAAGCTCAGCTGAAACCTGTCCACCATGGGTGACCCCGCTGGTATTTGAAATACTGGTGGTATAACTTCTAGCGTCACAGCAACGCGGAAGCTCCCGCAGTATGACGAACAGAGACACGTGGGGTTAATTGAAATAGGTATTAGTAAAATATACACAGGACCGTCTTGTACCAATCACAGCAATGGTTTCTCGAACAGTTTAATATGTATCCTTCCAGACTTTTGTCTGTGCACATAAACATATATGTAAATAGTGTTTATTGCAAAGAACGAGATCTTGCTATATATTTAGTTCAGCAAGTTTTTTCCCATGAAATGTTATGGATATTTGTCTATATAATTTCAGGTGGATCTGCCTCTTCTGAAGAGTTACATGGTATTCCATAGTTCGGTTGCTACAAAGTACATTTTGCCATTCTTCTGCGTATGGACATTTGAGTCATCTCCAAATTTTTACTTTTACTAATAGTGATGTAATAAACGTGTTTGTCTAAAAATTTTTGGAAGTGTATGTAACTTTCTATGTTATAGATTCTAGATGGTACCTGTTACTCTTTTTGTTTGTTTTTTATTATGGAAAATTTCAAATATAGTCAAAAGTAGGGAATAGTAGAAAACCAAAAACCAAACTCGTTGCTGTCAAGTCGATTCCGACTCATAGCCACCCTATAGGACTTAGTAGAACTGCCCCATAGAGTTTCTAAGGAGCAGCTGGTGGATTTGAAACACTGATCTTTCGGTTAACAGCCATAGCTCTTAACCTTTGTGCCACCAAGGCTTTGGGAACAGTACAGTGGACCCCTTATCCACTTCAGTAATTATCATTGTGTGGCCAGCCTTGTTTCGTGCATACCCCATCTACTACCTGAACACTGAATTACCCTAACACTGAATTTATTATGAAGCAAAAACATCTCATTTTATCCATAGATAGTTCAGTACGCGTCTGCAAATGTTAAAAACATTTAAAAAAATTGCAATTGTGTTATCATACCTAAAAATTTGTAAATGTCAGTGTTCAAAATGTTTCCACTTATCTCATAATTTATTATTTTTTTGTAGTTGGTTTGTTTGAATCATGATCCAGACAAGATCCATACGTAGCATTTGGTTAATATGCTGTCCTGTCTTTGTTAGTGTATAGGTTTCCCCTTCTCTTCTCTTTTGTTTTCCTTATGATTTATTTGTTGAAGAAGCTTTTGTACTGTATAATTTCCAACGTTCTGGATTTTGCTCATCATATCCCTATGATGCGATTAATTAGTTCTTCATCCTTTTATTTCTCCTACAAGTTGGTAATTAGATCTGGAGGCTCATTTCAGATTATGATTTGATTTTTTTTCCAATAATACTTAATAGGTAATGGTGTGTACTTATATCTGGTTTCCCATTTCGTGATGCTAGTAGCCATTGATAGTCATTGCTTAGATCCATTACTTCATTTAAATAAAAACCCCGTTCCCGTTGGGTCAATTCCACCTTATAGCAACCCTATAGGACAGAGTAGAACTGCCTCATGGAATTTCCAAGGAGCAGCTGGTAGGTTCCAACTACTGACGTTTTGGTTAGCAGCGGTAGCTATTAACCACTGTGCCACCAGGGCTCCATTACTTCATTAGGGGTTGCAAAATAATGATATTTGAATTTGATCATTACTTTCTCTTTCTTTAAAATAATATTTTATCGTGTTTTACGTGAAGTTTACACAGCAAATTAAATTTCTCTTTAACAATTTTTATATACATTGTACCAAGTCATTGGTTATAATTTTTATAGTGTATCAGCATTGTCATTGTTTCCATTCTGTTTATTCTGTTTCCATTGATCTAGCTTTCCTGCCCTTCTTTGCCTTCTCAGCTTTGGTTTTGGGTAAATGTTGACCGTTTGGTCTCATGTATCATATAGTTCAGTTTAAAGGAGCACATTACTCACAGGTGATGTGTTTATTTTATAATCCAATCTGCGGGCTGAAGGGTGACCCGAAGAAATAACTTCAATTCCGTGTGATCATTACTTTCTGACTATAAAGTACTAGGGCAAGTACTTTATAAAGAGAAATTTCCCCTCATCAACAACTTGGTTCCTCTGATATACAATTTGTGTAGGAAAAGGAGAATAAATGCTTGATCTTTACCTTTATCAGTTTGAAAAACAGTGAGTTGGTTTCTTAGCATCCTCCAAAGATGACTGGTGAGTTTTTATCAAATCATTGTGAACCTATCATTTTAACATATTTGATGTATTTCAATCCTTTGTTGTCAGTTATTATTCTTGATGCTAAAATTGTCCCATCTTTGCCCAGAAACTGATTCAAATTGGCTCATGAGTCTTTCTGATATGATCTTAGTGTAATAAGGTATTCTAGGATCATCTTAAGATATTTATTTGGCCATTTCTCCAAGGAGACTTGATTCCTTTTAGTGAGAGATGATATTTAGAGACCTCAGTCAGGGCTTGGAGGTTCTTATTGCTACTGGGACATAGCTCTAAAAATAATACATATATATTTAAAGGAGGAGCCCTGGTGGCGCAGTCTGCTAACCAAAGTGTCGGCAGTTCAAATCCACGTCCCATAGGGTCGCTGTGAGTCAGAATCGACTGGACGGCAACGGGTTTGTTTGTTTGTTTTTTTGGTGTATTTAAGGGAAACTATTTCATGAGTTCATACTGATGTTCCAGTTCAACTTTAGGGACTATAGGATTTTTACTTCTCTAATTTTGTATTTGTATCTCTTTTCTCTTACACTGAAAAATCTGGTTCCTAATATTAACATAATTATTTGTTGTATTCTGTACTACAAATATATAGTATTTTCCAATTACCCATACTACTATCACTAACAATATGATTACTGAAAACAAGTTATGATTTCTTTGCATTTAGATTTTTTTTTTCCTTAGGGTATATACTCTTAGGGAAATACAGTCAAATTGCTACGTTTTAAAATGAGATGAAATGATTTCATTCCATTGTGGTAAAGCCATCAGCCAGATAGATAGTTTCATTCATTTCATTTTGCCCTAGCCACAGACTAAGATGATATGCTTAGTGTCTTTAGGGAACACTTTTTTTATTTATTTCATTTTCTTTTATAATTATGTAAAACTCATCATTTCAGAGTCAAGTTCTGAGAAGTTTAACCTCTATCCCTGCTCCCTTCACCATATCTCCTCCCTCTACCGATCGGTAACCACTTTTATTACTTTTTGGTTTATCCTTCCATTTTGAATGAATAAAACCAAATATGTGTATTTATTCACATCCCTCCTTTTCTTAAATAAAAAGATAGCCTTCTATATACATTATTCAATACCTTGTTTGTCTTTTTCTTAATGATGTATTCTGGAGCTCGTGCCATAAGAGTGTCATGGAGAAGTTGTCTCATTCATTTTTACAGAGTTTTAGTATTTCATTGGGTCGAGGTACCATAGTTTACTCAACAGTCCTTGCTACCAATGGACATTGATTTCCAAACTTTCACAAGGGCACAAACTCCAGCAATTTGCTCACTGGGAAAAATTTATTTTAACAATTGCTTCAGGAGTCCATTTCCTGTGCATAAAATGGAAGCTTTACCATATAAGCTAATGGCAGAGAAGATTTTTAATTTATAAAAATAGAAACAATTTCCTAAATTTCCTGTCCCAGTGGGTGTAACATGAGGTAGGAAAACAGGAGTGGCTAGGGTCCTTTGTGGTTTGAGGATGACTAGGCATTGCAGGTAAATTAATGCCTAGATGTATCCCCGAGTTCATCTTGGCTTTCTGAAGTTCAGAGACTGTAGGACAAAGAGCTGAGTTTGGCCTTTTGTCTCTAAAAATAGCCCAAGCAATTAAGGTGTTTGTTTTATAAAACATCCAGGCAACACTTGTTGTTAGGTGCCTCCTGATGACAGGACCAAAGTAAGGAACAGTTCATGTCATCCTCTCTTCTCAGGAGCGTTCTGGTTGCACTTCTTCCAAGACGTATTTGTTCGTTCTTCTGGCAGTCCACAGTATAGTCAGTATTCTTTGCCAATACCACGATTCGAATGTGTCAATTCTTTGGTCTTTCTTACTGATATTCCAGTTTTTGCATGCATATGAGGTTATGGGAGGCTGCCATATTCGTTTTTTCTGTCTTTCCAAAAAAAAAAATATTCTGCGTATGCTTTCACCCACAGTCTGAGTCTCCTTTAAAGAGACAGGATCAAGTAGGGACCTGAGAATAATTGTATGAGACTTACTAGTGTGGCTCTGAAGCAGTTGCTACATTTAAAAATGCAAATGAAATATTATTTAGAATTTGTTTCCCTGCTAAAGCACAGTTTCTCTTACACCCAGTTCTTTGGCAGAATCAATGCATATATACTCCTGTGTCTTGATTCCAACGTTTGTGATATTGTGACATACGCCTTTCAGGAGAAACAGCGTGGGTGACCGTGAGAAGGCTCTTCAGGTCATGCTCCAGGTTCTGCAAAGCTGTGACCACCCAGCCCCTGACATGTTCTGCCTTTGTGGTAGGATCTACAAGGACATTTTCTTGGATTCTGACTGTAAAGATGACGACAGCCGAGAGCGCGCCATTGAGTGGTAAGCCCTTGGCCCTAGTCAGTAGCACGTCCTTCTCTGCAAAGGGTAAAGTCACATAGGCTAAGGGACCAGGTCTTTTCCCTGTCTTCCAGCAAGTGAAAAAAGAAGAAAAGTGTTATGGAATTTTCCAGAATCCTTTTCTGAGAGGAACCCATTAGAAACGGGTTTCTACTGATGACATTCTTTTCTCACAGGTCCACTCATTTATGGGGGCAAGAAGGAGGCTCAGCACACTCCTCCCCAGCTGCCCGTATCAGAACTTTGTTCCACTACCACCGGGGCACTAGCTTCCCAGTGAGCTGTCAATTCATCCATTTATTCAACAAGTATTTACTGAGGGCCTGCTTGTGCTAAAAAGTTTTGTAGGTGATAGGAGTAGAGACGAGGAGCCTTGGTGGTGCAGATGTTTAAGCACTCAACTACTAACCGAAAGGTTGGTAGTTTGAACCTACCCAGTGGCTCCACCAGAGGAAGACCTGACGATCTGCTCCTGTAAAGATTACAGCGTGGGAAACTATGGGGCGGTTCTACTCTTTCATATGGGGTTGCTGTGAGTTGAAAATCGACTTGACGGCAACTACCAATAGGGATACAGACACGACAGACATGAATCCGTGCCCTCATGGACCTTGCATTACTCGTCAGGGAAGTCAGATGGATAAAAAGGGAAAATATAGGCTGTCAGCTGGTGGTGAGGGCTGTGGAGCCAAAGGAGGGCAGGGAGGGGATTAGGAGGATGGGGAGGGGTGGTCTGTAGTTTTAAATAGTGTGATCAGTGGGTGGAGGTGATTAAAGCCATGAAGGAGGTGAGGAAGAGAGCCTTGCAGTTATCTGTGGAGGGAGCATAAAGAACAAAGACCCTGAGGAGGAGGAAGCATGCAGGGGTGAAGAGTGAACAAGGGGAGAGTGACTTGAAATGGGAGGGGCGAAGACCCTGAAGGACCTGTAGGTAACGAAAAGGATTTTAGATTTGGCTCTGAGTGGGATGGGTTGGCATTGGAGTATGCTGAGCAGAGAATTGACAAGACCTGACATACGTTTAACAGGATACTGTCACTATTGTGCAAAGAATAAACTGGCGGGGGTATATCAGCTATCTTTTGCTGCATAACAAACAACCCCAAAACTTTGCGGCTTAAACAACAATTTATTATTTCCCATGATTCTGTGGGTTTGCCAGGCAGTTACACTGCTGGCTTCGCCTGGGGCACTCCTACCATTGCAGTCATCTGGACAGTCAGCAGGGCTGGAAGGCCCAAGATGGCCTCATACACGTTTGGCAGCTGGTGCTGGCTATTGATGGTATTCCTTGGTTCTCCATCATGTGGCCTCTTATCCAGCTAGACCAACTTCCTTATGAGGTGGGCAATATTCTAAGAGAGTGAAGGTGGAAACCGCAAGGACTCTTGAGGCCTTGGCTCAGGAACTCACACAGTGTCACCTCTGCCACATGCTATTGGTCAAAGGCAATCGTAAGACCAGCCCATATTCAAGAAAGTGGGTAAATAGACTCCATCTCTGATGGAAGAGGAGACAGAGTTGCATTTCAAAGGTGCATGCCTGTTGGAATGGGAGAAATCTGTGGCCATTAAACAGTTCACCACAGGGGCAGGGATGGAAGCAGGGAATAGTTAGGGGGCTGTTGCAGTAATTCAGGGAAGAACCAGGGTGGTAGTGATACAAATGATGAGAAATCGGAATCTGGGTGTATTTTGGAGATAGCAGCAACAGCGCACATCATGCATTTCAGTTGCGAGAGCCCTTGGTATTGATATCCCAGTCTAGTTTAATTCTGTGTCCTCTCTGTCGTCTCCTTCCATACACATAGAGGCTTTGCCCTCTCTTCTCTCCATCCACACACTTCCCTGGAGATCTCAGCTGCTTCCACACCTTGGGACCCTTAGCGGGAGATCTCCAGCCCCACCTCTTCCCTTAATCTGTGGCCCAGCATTGTCCCCTCTCTACTGACCTGTTCTACCTAAAGATGGTGCTGGTATTTAAGACTTGACACGTTGAAGGCTGAAGCTGTTTCCTCCTCTCCAGAAGTTAGGACTTCCCGTGTCTTGCTTTCTTACTACCATCCATTAGCCTCCAAGGCTTCAACTTTGGATTAATGTTAGATTGCTTTCACTCACTTATCTCCCCATCCAGTCAGTTCCCAATTTCAGCCCTTCTGGGAGTCTTCCTTGAATCCCTGCCAATCCCTTCCCATCACTCCTACCCACAATCAGTGCCTTTTTTTTTTTTTTACTTTCTTGCCAAGAATGTTCTAGCAGTATCCCAAGTTGGCTCCATGCTTGTTGTCTCTTCAGTCCATCGTTCACAGATTTCTAGCTTACTCTCTCTAAAGCTCAAACACCCACCACTACCAATGTCACAAACCAGTATATGTATAAATTTTTAAATGAGAAATTAACTTGAGCTATTAGCTCACCTAAAGCACAATTTGAAAAAAAGCCACTGCAGCTCCCCACACCCTATTAAATAAAAAATCCAAACTCCTAGTTTGCCATTCAAGGTGCTTTGCAAACTTTCCGCAACCTCCCTCTAGCCCTATTTTCCACTACCCCATATACATCCAACTAAGGTTGATGTTCCCGCAGGAGCTTCTCAACCTTCCATTTCTGCTCTTGCCATTTCTTACGCTGGGGTTTCCATTCCCACATCAGAATTCTATCCATCTTCTGTGGCATACCTCAAGTCAGAACTTGATCTAGAGGGATCTCTTCTGTGAATCCCTCTAGACTTGGTTTGCATGGTTTGAGGTACTCTTTCCACACTCTTGCTTATATTTTCACTAATTGTGTATGGATCCTGTCCATGTCCACCTCCTTCGTAGTGTGGGCTCTTGGAGGGACCTGACAGGGACCTTGTTTTATTCCTATTTCATCTCCAGTAGTACCTAATGCACTGCATGGTGGAGGGAAATCACTCGGTGTTGGAGGGAAGGGAAGATAAGGAAGCTAATGTTTGGTAGAACAAAAACAGAAACCTGTATTCTTGCCATGGTGGCCAAGAATCCAACCCCTATGTCAGGAAACTGCTGCCCATAGATCTTTCAAGAAAATCATAGAAGTCTTTCTCCACCCACTTCAGAAGACAATGGCAGTGGGTACAGGAGCAAATGATGCCTGGTCTTCTGGGTAGAGTATTGTGGTTCTGAATGAGGCCTTGGGGACCGTCTCACCCAAGTTCTCAGGTTCATATGTGGAGCATGTGGTTCTGGGAGATTGGTGGCTGGCTAGTCCAAGGTCACAGAGCTGGTGAGAGGCAAAGTTGGGACTGCAGTCCTCATTCCAAGTTCAAATCTTGTCTGTCCCCAAGCTGGACCTGTCTGATGTACAGATAAAAGCCATGGGGAAATAACCCCGTCTTCCCTCTTCCCAGTATAACTTTTCGTAGTAGAGGCGGTCCCTGGGTAACAAATGAGATCTGTTCCTAAGTGTGTCTTTAAGTGGAATGTGTAGGTAAGTCAGAACAGGTGCATGTGATTCTTACTTAGCCTTACTTTAGTGCAAGAAAAGACTTGAAGCATTTTCAGTGATTTAAAAGCTGCTTGTATAGCAAGTGAAGGCGATTGTGATGAAGAATTTTTGTGGGGGCAGGGGGGGTTGGTTCAAGCATTTCAAAGTGAGAGCAAATTTACATGACATGAAAGGACAGGTACTCTCCTTAAGGAGCCTTGGTTGCATGGTGGTTAAGAACTACAGCTGCTAACCAAAACGATCAGCGGTTCAAATCCACCAGCGGCTCCTTGGAAACCCTTCTCTATCCTACAGGGTTGCTGTGAGTCAGAATCGACTCACAGCAACGGGTTTGGTTTTTTGGGGTTTACTGTCCGTAAGTCAGATGTTCATAGCCTGGGGACTTATTATAAAAGCAAATGAAAACAAATCAGATTTAGCAGGATATAGAATTTGAAATCCCCAAAACATATATAGAAAAAAAAAAAGTTGGAATTTCGTTGCCTTGCTGTCCTTCCTCTGGTCCACCTGCGGGTGCTTGTGTTATACCCCAAAGTTCCTAAAACCCGATTGTACCGGACTTAAGTGATAACTTCTCCTTGCAGAATTCATATTTACTGTTGATATCCTTGTTGTCACATGACTGATAAAATGACTGCTGTTTTGCAAGTCTTTGATATGAACAGTACCATTTAAAGACATTTGTGTATCATTACTTCATTGATTCTTTTTCCTGATTGTGATATTCCTACTTACTCATGGAAGAGAGGGAAAGTTTTTATATACAGATAGCCCTGACTTAAACGATGGACTCAAGTTATGATGAACTGCGCTTATGACTGTCTGGGGTGCTTTTTTTTTTTTGTTTTTTTTGTTTTTTTGGTACATCTTATCATTAGTGATATGTACTACAGCATTGCAGTCTGTAATTTGCTGATGTTATCATCCTCAGATGTTTACTCACAGATGTTCAAAGATTGGATTTATAAAGATACTGATAATAAAAGGCAATAATAATGAAAACTAAAAAAAAGAAGTATTCGACTTATGTCAGAACCGACTTAACGACTGAGTTGTAGGAACGGAACCCTATCTTTTATCAGGGACTACCTATGTAGAAAACCATAAAGAGGAGATTAAAAAAAAAAAAGACGCTGTTAATAGTCTAGTATGAAACTGGTTTTCCCTGTTTGGTATCTTGTTCTTTATCCTAATGTAATAGGTCCCCACCCCTTATCTCACTTTATGCCACTGCTTTGTAGCTATTTGGGATCCAGGATTTTGACAGTACCACTTCATACAAGGAGACTGAGTCCATTTTGTGATGTAAGCAGATAAGCAAACAAACCAATGATCTTCAGAGAAATAGCCTATGATTAATGCAGTTTCTATATAATAAAAATGATACGCAAATGCAGTCTAATTTAAAAATGAGATTTAGACATTAAATTGTGGTCTCTTTTGGGGAGAGGATTATAATCGATTTTAACCTTATTTTGTATGCTTTAATATAGCTTCCTTATTTTCTATGATAATCATGACTTTCATTATCAAAACATAAACCTTACAGAGAATACATGAAAAACTCCCTGGTATAAGTTACTGTGTTAATATTAAATTTTTAAAAAGTGATTTAAGAACTTCACGTAGCTGTTTGTAAAGGTGGGGGGAAAGCTGGAAAATGTCAATTAGAGTAGGAGAAATATTCGTGAAAGTTGGTTTGTACCATTATTCAGACATTGTTTTTTTGTTCTGCTGTAAAACGATGACATAGAATTTGATGGCTCTATAATTACAGGTATCGCAAAGGGTTTGAGCTCCAGTCATCTCTTTATTCAGGAATTAACCTTGCAATTTTGCTGATAGTTGCTGGACAACAATTTGAAACTTCCATGGAACTAAGGAAAATAGGTAAAGCTATTTATTGGAGTCCCTGGGTGATGCCAACAGTTAATACACTCAGCTGTTCGCTGAAAGGTTGGTGGTTCTAGTCCACCCACCGGCACTTTGGAAGGAAGCTTGGCAATTTACTTCCCAAAAATCAGCCACTGAAAACCTTGTGGAGCACAGTTCTACTCTGACACGCGTGGGGTTGTGACTCAACGGCAACTGGTTTTTATTTATTTATCATTGCGGGTGTTGATGCTTTGATTACACAAGTTCAACATTAAAAAATATGTTCCAGTAACCCGCATTCTATTCCAAAAGGAACAATCAGTTACTTTCTCGCAGCACACCTGAGGCAGTAACTCAAATAAAATGCCTGCTTTTCCTGTTTCTGAAGGCTTACATGATGATAGAAACAAGAAAGATTTTTCCTAACTTTTCTAACATTCCAATTCCTAAGGTGTCCGGCTGAACAGTTTGTTGGGAAGAAAAGGGAGCTTGGAGAAAATGAACAATTACTGGGACGTGGGGCAGTTCTTCAACGTAAGCATGTTGGCCAATGATGCTGGAAAGGCCGTCCAGGCTGCAGAGAAGTTGTTCAAGCTGAATCCTCCGGTCTGGTGAGTTGCGTCTGTGCGTTGGCCTCATCCATCTCAATGTCTGATCTTGTTCTGAAATGTTTGCCTCAGGTAGACAAAGTGTAGATCGAAAAACCAATTACAGTTGCTATGTTTCTCCTTCTGACATGTTCATTAAAGCAAACTTAGGGCAAACATAACAGCTCTGAGGACTCACTTTGATTTTATATGAAGGGAGGGATGGAGATGTGCGTACGCACACACCTACATGCTGTATCCCCAGAATTAGGCTCTCAATCTTTCTACAGGCCATCTAGGTCCCCAAGAGCAAAACACTCTTTAGTGTTATTAGCTGCCATCGATTCAGCCCCTGATCCATGGCAACCCCACGCACAGTGGGATTGGACCATTATGATCCATAGGGTTTTCATTGGCCGATTCTTGGAAGTAGATCTTCAGGCCTTTCTGCTTAGTCCATCTTAGTCTGGAAGCTCTACTGAAACTTGTTCAGCATCAGAGCAACATGAAGCCTCCACTGTCAGGTGGTTGATGACGGCGCTTGAGGTGCGTTGGCTGGGAGTTGAACCCAGGTCTCCCATCTGGAAGGTGAGAATTCTACCACTGAATCACCTCTGCCCCTCCACGCTTTGGTACTAGTACATAGTGTATTCGTGATAATGTACTAGTACATTAGTGAGAAAGTAGATAATAAAACTAAAAAGCACACTAAGAAAATGATGTTCCTCACCAATGAAAAGTGGAACTAACCTGAAAGACAAATACTAGAGTATGGTCAAGAAAATGGTGGCACAACAACAGCCATAGGTTAACCCATTATACAGCCACTAAGATGTGCAGGAAAGACTACTCAGAGAAGTGGAATATGTTCATTGTTTATTATGAGTAAGAAAAGCCAGTCACAGGGTATATTCTATCTGATTGGTTCTAAAACTTTAGCATGTTGATTAAAACAGGGATTGCTGGGCCCTACCCTTAGGATTTCTGGTTCATTAGGTGTGGAATGGGGCCTAAGAATTTGCATTAACAAATGCAAGCTGCTGCTGCTGCTGCTGCTGCTCTGGACACAGCACTTTGAAAACCGCTGCTCTGTATGATCTCGTTTTTATTAACAGTATGTGTTGGGTATGTGATTCAGAGAGAAAGATCTGGGAGAAGTGGGCAATATCTGACTTCCCCAACAGACGTTAAGCTTCATTAGGAATGTGGTTATCTTATTGATTGTTGTACATGATAGGTGCTCAAAAGATACTTGTGGAATGAATGAGTGAATGAGGGATTTTCTCCAAAGTATTGGCAGTGGTTAGCTCAGGACAGTAGCCTTGTAAAAAGTTTTTAACTTTTTTTATTTATCTCTGTTTTCTGATTTTTAAAAAATGCATATGAATTACTTAAATGATTTAAACAATTTTATTTTTAATGATCCATGTTTATCTGCCATCTCAGCTCAGTGGGCCAGGGTGGATTCCCAGGGGTAGGAATTTCTCCAGACGGATCTAGTTTGACTTCTTCTGTCAGAAGGACCATAAATTTGGCCCCCAAACCATATCAACCTCTTTAAAGTTCTGTCAGGCTGAGAGGACACAGAGCCAGGCTAGGCTAGACTGGCTGGCTATCTCCAGATCCTAATCTCCTAACCTTAAGGTGCTTTCCTGCGTGTGGGCCAGCTGGAGCTGACTCCAGGAGAAGAGACCCCAGGGTTGGATACAGTCCCATGACATTGGCGCTAGGCCTGAATTATAGTGTTGGTTCCCAGTAAGGTCAGTCGGAGTTTAACTGGTCTGCCTTCCCAAGATAGTTCCAGACTTTGTCCCCAAAGGGCAAAATAATACTGTGATACTTTCCGCTGAAGCATCATCTTCACTCGGTACCAGAGAGGGTGTGACCACCACTGTCTGACTACTGTCTTTGAAAGAGTTAGGTTTGTTCGAAGACAAGAGACGTGTGGTCAGATTTAAGACTTTATAACATCAAAATCTACCTGGTGGGGTCTTTTTCTTTTTTTAAATGACAGTGAGTTTCAGATTAGTGATTGGCAGGGGTCAGTCAGGGATTGGCAAGGGTCAGTCAGGGAGGGGCTGGGGATGGGAGAGAAGTGGGTGTGGCTATACAAGGGATCCTTGGTGATGGGATGTTCTGCATTTTGAATGTATTAATGTCAATATCCTGATTGTGATAGGGTACTATCGTTTCACGAGTCGTTACCATTGGGGGAAACGGGGTAAAGAGCACATGGGATTTCTCTGGATTATTTCTTAACTGCATATGAACGTACAATTATCTCAGAAGTTTAGTTCAAAGAAAGAAACAGACAATGAGCTTGAAATTTTGTCATGTTGCAATTGCTTTGAATTTTAAACTATTTGCTCTTTTTAATGAAAAGTTATCAAACGCCTGCCAATCCGTACACTTTGGACACCGTGTACCAAAATTGAGGTTTAGCCCGGTGTTGGTACAAAGCCATGTTGTGATTTTGTTAGGCTGACTTATTTTGTCTTCTGTTCAGGTTTCTTTTCATTAATTATGCGACCACTAAGGGATTGTTTAAGAAGTGCTCATTACATAATATAAATACAGTAAAACTTGTGAAAGCTGGAACCTGTGTAAGGTGGAAACCTATCAGAGAGGGAAAACGCAGGTATTTTCCACTAAAATGAGCAGTAGAAAAGTGGTTAAGACTCTGCAGAGTTGGGGAAGCTTCTTTTAAAGGGAGTACACGTGAATCTAATCTGTTGTTGTCTGTGATTTTCCAGGTACCTTCGATCATTAGTTCAGAACATATTATTAATTCAGCGCTTCAAGAAATCCATGATTGAACATTCGCCCAGGCAAGAACGGCTTCACTTCTGGTTAGATATAATTTTTGAGGCAACAAACGAAGTTACTAGTGGACTCAGATTTCCAGTAAGATATGCTAAATCCATTTCTTTCAGATAATAGAAACTCAGGATTGGTGGTCTCTAATTGTTGAATGGAGTCTCTGGGTGGTGCACAAGGTTAACGAGCGCAGCTGCTAACCAAAAGGGTGGCAGCAGTTTGAGTCCACCCAGAGGCACCTTGGAAGAAAGGCCTGGTGGTCTACTTATGAAAAATCAGCCATGAAAACCCTGTGCAGCACAGTTCTACTCTGACACGCAAGGGGTCACCGTTAGTCAGAATCAACTTGACAGCAACTGGTTTTAATTATTACATACTCTGAAAGTAAAAAATCCTTGGAGTAATTTAAAATATTAGGTTATCCATTAGTCTTATGTAGAATTAGCAAGTGAGAGATCAACTCACTGGAGAAAGGTTGGCTATATCCTCTAAAATGGGGGTTCTCAACTGGGGGTAATTTTCGTCCACCAAAAGGCACTTGGCCATGGCTGGAGACATTTTGGGTTATAATAACTGGAGGGGTGGATACTATTGGCATCTAGTGGCTGGAGGCCAAGAATTCTGCTAGACATCCCACAATGTCCAGGACCAAACCAAAAACCAAACCCATTGCCATCGAGTCCATTTTGATTCATAGAGCCCCTGTAGGACAGAGTTGAACTGCAGTGTCGGGTTTTCAAGGCTGTAATCTTTATGAAAGGAGCCCTGGTGGCACAGGGGTTAAGCATTCGGCTGCTAATCGAAAGGTCGGAGGTTCAAATCCACAAACTGCTCTGTGGGAGAAAGATGTGGTAGCCTGCTTCCAGAAAGATGTACAGGCTTAGAAACCCTATGGGCAGTTCTACTGTGTCCTATAGGGTCAATATGAGTTGGAATGACTCCATGACAGTGGGTTGGGTTTTTATGATTTCAGTCTTTAACAGAAGGAGATTGCCACATATTTTACCCGCAGAGTGGCTGGTGGGTTTGAACTACCAACTTTTTGGTTAGCGGCGAGCAATTAACCACAGCGAGCAATTAACCACTGCGCCATCAGGGCTCCTAATGCACAGGGCACTCTTCTATAGTTAAGAATTATCCAGCCCAAAGTGTCAATGGTGCCGAGGTGGAGGAAAAAAAAACCAAACCTGTTGTTGTCGAGTCGATTCCAACTCATCGTGTCCCTAAATGTCAGAGTAGAACTGCCCCATAGGGTTTCCGAGGAGCGCCTGGTGGATTCGAACTGATTATCAGCCTGAGCTGTTTACCACTCAAGCACTGCGCCACCAGGGCGAGGTGGAGAAACCCTGCTGAAGAACACGGCAGTACTGATAGTGAAAGTTGCAATTCACAAGTTGTTTCCTGTTGAGCTTTGGTTTGCCTCGAATGCCACTAATTAATTTTTAAAACTCCTGAAAAGCAAATTTTCTTTGAGCTTTTCTTTAACTTTTGTGACTGTCTTATAAGGAGTCATAAATAAGCGGCCTGGAAAGTCAACTTCAGATACCTGTGTTTCCTACTCATGCCATGAGATTTTCAGAACATGCAGTGTTTAAGAATTTCATTAAGCATCTAATAAAGAATTGAGCTGTTTGAAATGATTATGATGATTATTTTGTTCCTGAATAATAAGGTGTAAAAGCTTCTTTTAATTATTAAATATTTCAAACCTACTGGAAGTAAAAAATAGTAGGACACTTATATAATCTACTTGGGTGTAGCATATTAAACATCCCACTTTATTTGCTTTGGAGAGCTCGGTCTCTCTCTCCTTCCCCTTCCTCCCTTCTCTCTCACTGTCTGTCTCAATAAAACAACGTTACTGATGGAATGTTATCTGGCTTTTAATCCCCTCACATTTTTGCCAACAATTTGTACCTGAGGAACATCCTCTCTCTCCTCTGCCATCTCCTCAGGGATGCCTGTCTTTGCCACCTGATTTAAAGAAGTACCCCCACTTCACTCTTTTCTTCATGCTGCTTTATTTTCTTCAGAGCTCTTCCCATAATGTTATATTTCATCTCCCTATCTGTTTGTTGGAGTCCCTGGGTGATGAAAACTGTCAATGCACTCAAACCGAAAGGTTAGAGGTTTGAGTCCACCCAGAGGTGCCTCGGAAGAAAGACCTGGTGATGTCCTTCTGAAAGATTGGCCATTGAAAACCCTGTGGAGCACAGTTGTACTCTGACACACGTGGGGTCACCATGAGTCACAGTCGACTCCATAGCAAGTGGTTTGCTGGTGTCTGTGTTATTCTGTCTGCCCCATTAGAGCTTAACCCTCACGCAGGCGCAGGGGCTTTGTGTTATGTACTGTAGTAACCTTGGCTCCTGGAACAGTGCTTGGCACATAGTAGGTACTGGATGAGTATATGTTCCCGTGCAAATCTTCCCACTTCCTCACTGGGCAGGGTACCCTCTGCTTTATATTCCTATGCCTTACAGACATGTGTTCTTATTTTAGGTTCTGGTGATAGAGCCAACCAAAGTCTACCAGCCTTCTTATGTCTCCATCAACAGTGAAGCTGAGGAGAGAATGGTTTCTTTATGGCATGTCTCACCCACGGACATGGTAAGAAGAAAAATCAAGTAGGAGAGTCTGTGTTGTAGTGTTTGAAAGAACAGGCATCTATGTCTTAACTTCTGAATTATGGGAATATATGAAATAGTATGATTACAAATGAAAGAATGGAGGCAGATTTTATATATATATATATATATATATATATATACACACACACACACAAATGTATGTATATATGTGTGTTTACTATCTCATATGTATTATATGAATTATAAAACTTGACACAGGCTTTTTTGAAGTTCATAAGGAAAGGAATAAAGGAAAAGTCCCTTTGCCACCACCATTCATAATGGTTTGGTGAATATCCATTTATACCTTTTTCTAAACTCATTTATATATGTATAATATGTGTGTATCGGTGTACACGTATATATGGAATGAGACAGGCATTTTCATTAAAGTGAAATCATGCAGTATGTTTTTATTCTGCAACTTATGCTTTTGAACTTGTGCCTCCATCATGGACAGTTTTTCACATCAGCATACACTGAGCCACCTGAATTTATTAATATGGCAGTCCCTCTGTTCCCGTGCCAGATTGTATGTTTCCTGGTATGAATGAACCATAATTTCTTCTACCATTTTCCTACCGATATAGATTTAGGTCTCCAATTTTGTACTCTTGCAGTTGAGACAACAGTGTACATCCCGGTAAGTTCTATCCTACTACACTCAAGGAAGGCATTTCAGAAGGACAGAGTCCCAGAAATGGACCTGCTGGATTAAAGATTGCCAGCTGCTGTGGAGTCGACCCCGACTCATTGTGATCACCCCATGTGCTCCAGAGTAGAACTGTGCTCCATAGGGTTCTTAATGGCTGATTTTTCTGTAGATCACCAGGCCTTTCTTCCAAGGTGCATCTGGGTAGACTCGAACCTCCAACCTTTTGGTTTAGCAGCTGAGTGCATTAACTCTGTTTGCGCCTTCCAGGGGCTCCTGGATTAAAGGTTGTCTGTATTGAAAATTTGGATAGCTACTGCCAGATATATACCATTCTAACATATACTCATACCAACATAGGAGAGGAAACATTTTAATTGCTTATTAAAAAAATTATAGAAATGCTGGGCTGAATCTGATATTTTGTCGTAATGGCTATATTTTCATCTCTCTTTATCTAAAGCACCTCATCAGCTTTTTTCTTTAATGAAATATTTTGCAGTAATAAAGAGATGTGGCACCTTTGATGAGTTAACTGTGCAAACACAGTTAAAGCACTATTATGTTTTTATGGAATGTGGGAGAGTAGTGTCATTAACTTGATTAAAACGGTTATTTTTTCTGGGAAGCAAGAGTATGAACAATTATGTTTTAAAACAAAACCAAACCAAGAAACTAAACCATTGCTGTTGAGTCAATTCCGGTGCATATCACCCTATAGGACAGAGTAGAACTGCCTCATAGGGTTTCCAAGCAGCAGCTGGTAGATTTGAACTGCCGACCTTTTGGTTAACAGCCGAGCTCTTAACCATTGTGCTACTAGGGCTCCAATTATTTTTTAATCACGTAAAAATAAACAGTATCTTCCAAAATAAAATGAAACATTGGAGAATAAGCACAAGTTCAAATTCATATTAGAAACTCATCAGAAGTAGCCACAGTGTCTCAAGAATAGGGCAGTAACCATAGAAAGTGCATGTTATTTGCGTAAAAATACAGATAAGTCAGGCACCTCATTTTTTTTCATTATTATTGCCTTTAATTATTTGTATCTTTGTAAATCTGAACTTATTTGTCTTTGGGGGTTGGAAACATTACATATAAACTTACAAATATATTTTAACATTGTATGTAGTACTAACGATAAGATGCACCAAAAAAAAAAAAAAAAAAAGGATGGTCGTTTATGTGCGGTTCGTCATAACTCAAATACGTTAGAAGTTGGGAACTACCTGTACTGTGTTCCCAGTTTTGGAATTCTTGTTCTAGGGATCAGCCTTGCCTGTTTGTGTCATTGTGGTAGGAGAGAATGTTCAAAATTACAGTCTGTAATCTCCCTCTTCGATTGATAACGGCACAGACTCCCTAAGACTTTGAAAAGTCGTTGCCGAAACAACTGATACTGTTAACGTGACTCTTCGTACGTTTAGAGCAAAACGATTTTGATCTCAGGAAATTCTACAGCCTTCTCCCTCCTCGTTTGAATTCTATAATGGTTGCTGGCCCTTAATGGGAATTTCCTTTGGAACATGTAATATCTCACTAGTTGTGAATGTTTTACCTTGTTTGTATGTAGTCCGTAATGAGAAATGCTAGTTTTCCTTAACTGGTGGCATGTTTTGTACAGCTGCTTGTAGTTGTCCGTGGAAACATCTGAGAGAAATAGAAATGTTTTCTTTTTTGAGAGGCTTTTACCTTCGTTTACACTTACAAGATGATGCAAATTTGGAGACCAAGCCAATTTGCCTAGGTTGAGATGACATGCCTCTACACGGGGTTGTGTTTCTTCCTAGCAGGCAGAAAGGGGCCACACGTGTGTACACATACACACTCTAAGATGGGATTAAGTTCCCAGCTTATTAACCAAGGATTCAGCAACTTGTTGGAAGTAAGGCAGCAGAGGTGTGCTGGTAAATGTTTAACAACCAGCTCTTCAGGAAGAGGGGCAGGGGAACCCTGAATTGTAGTGTTGGCTGGTTTCTGTGGTGTAAATGTGCTCACCATGGTCAATTTCAAGGAACCAACATTAGATTGCTGGACTTGGAGTTGGAAAGAGGTTTGGGCAGTTGGCCTTCCCCTGCCTGTGCAAAAGCTGCATCCAGCACCCGTTGCAAGGAGACTCCACAGTGCAGGAGCAGATGCATCACTGCTCCCTCAGCTTCTCTTGACCCTTTACATCACTAACAGGCACACGGCAGCCACCAGTGCTGCCCACTCAGGCAGGGCTCCTGATTTTGAAAAGCTCTTTTTGTTTTGTGTGCCTTTTGTACTTAGGCAAGGTGTCTAGCTGGTACAAACTGTTAACACGCTTGGCCACTCACAGAAAGGTTGGAGGTTCGAGTCCCCCCAGAGGTACCTCAAAAGAAAGACCTGGTGATCTACTTCTGAAAAATTGGCCATTGAAAACACTGTGGAGCAGAGTTCTACTTTGACACACATGGGGTCACCATGAGTCGGAGTCAGCTCAATGGCACTCCTTCTTCCTTCCACTGAAATCTTGTAGTTGTCCGATTGTCCCTATCTTGCACAAAGTCCAGCCTACTGTTTATGCATTTGCAAAAACGTCTTCCCAAATGGAGGAGTTCCTGAGAGTAAACCTGCCACCCTGGGACACTTTGAAAAACGAGAGGCTAAGTTTACTGTATACGGCCAGCCTCTGGCAGATTTGCGTGGGCCAGATCTTGAACCTGCTCTGGTTCACATTTCTGTTCCCAAATCCAAAGGCAGGCTCCCGCTCTCCACCTCTGCCTTCTCTGAGTGACTTTGGACACACTTCTCCTCTGAAATATGCATAGCCCTTCCACAGGGTTGGATCTCATTTGGTAGATTTCATATTTTCTTGCTCTTTCATGTTTCACGGCCTTCAGTGCTTCCCATGTCACACAGAGTCAAAGCTGAAGTCCTGATGGTGGCCCACAAGGCCCATTAACCCTCCAACCTCGTCTCCTCTCCACCACTTCCTTCTCTTACTCTACTCCTGCACACTTGCCTCGTTTCTGTTCTCGAACATGTCAAACAACACTCCTTCCTCAGGGCCTTTGCATTTGCTCTTCTCTCTGCCTGGACCCTTACCCAGATATCCACAGAGCTCATTTCTTCATCTCCTTCAGTTTTCTGCTCAAAAGTCACCAGCAAGGCCTTCCCTGAGTATCTAGTCTAACACCACGACCCCCATCCCACGTTAATGCCCTTCCCTGCCATATTTTTCATCGTAACGCTTTTCACCCTCCACCTCACTATATAATTTGCCATTTAACTTATTGACCATCCCCCCTCACTCAGTCCTCAGTGTCTGGCTCCTTGCCCGGGACATGAATGAACGGATCTCTCCCTTGAGGAACCACCCTCCTGTCTGCTTCTATTGTTGCTGATCCAGGATGGCAGAAACCTTGTCACCTGACTGCTCGTGACTGTCCTCCTGAGCCATATGCTCGGTCACTGGGCTCTTACCCTTCTCTTCCCTGGGTGGCTTAGGTGATCATTTATGATACTCCTCAGGCCAACCAAATGTCTTTTCCTATTTATAAAAATACTTTCTGTTGTTGTGATGTATTGGTCTTGTAGCCTACGGCTCTTCTGAAACTGGGATTTTTCAGACATTCTTCCTGAGGCTTAGCTTTGTGTTAAGTTTAAGGGAAGGGAATTGGGGAGAGTGACAGTGGTTTTTTTTTTTTTTTTTTAAATGAATATTACACAGATGGAAATCCCAGTCAGTCTTTGTACTAGTCATGGTAGGGTAGCTGCTACAACAAATAGTCCTCAGTTCTCAATGCTGTAACATCCTAAAGGTTTGTTTACTTCTCACGTCGTATCCAGGTTAGCAGGAGGCATCATTCCATCATGTTGTGAGTAGACGGGGAAAGAGAATGTAGGCAACTGCTCTGGAGGTTTTTATGAACCAGGCCCAAGGGTGGTGAACATCACTCCGTCTCACATTCCATTGGCCAGAACTCAGTAATACGGCCCCACCTAGCTGATAGGGAGGTTGGGTAATGTAGTCTAGCTGTGTTTCCATGAAGAAGTGGAGATCGGTGAACACTGAGCAGTGTCTGCAACAAACAATCTTCTCCAAACGTTTTTGCAGATCACTCAACCTAGGTGGGCTGTTCTCAGACTCATTTTGGGATTTGCTAATATGTTGACCCACCACCCATCTGTCAGTTTGTCGTAATGTGGTGACTTGCATGTTAACAATGCTAGAAGCTATGCCATCGATATTTGAAATACTAGCAGGTTCAACCACAGTGGACATGTTTCAGCAGAGCTTCCAGACTAAGACTAGGAAGAAAGGCCTAGCAATCAACTTCACAAATTAGCCAATGAAAGCCTTAAGGATCGCAACAGAATACTGTCCAATACAGTGCTAGAAAATGAGCCCCCTGTTTGGGAAGTCATTCAAAATTTACAACCGCCACAACAGTGGACTCAAACATACCAACGATCATGCAGATGGTGCATGACCAGGCAACTTTTCGTTCTGTTGTACATGAGGTCACCATGAGTCATAGCCAACTCCACAGCAACTAACAACAGTAAGTTAACAGAAAATGTGTTCTTACCTGTTCTATCTCAAGTTTAGACCCTTATCTCAGATTTATATAAATTTCCCTAAACTGGATTAAAGATAAAGATGAATTTTTATAATACATTAGAAAATTTTCTGGTATTCAAGTTATATTGCTGTAACCCTTAAATCTCTATTGAAAGTAAAATAGCAGAAGTGGCTGACCATAGAATGAAATAAAAAATGATTCTTTGCAATCCAAGTGCCCATCAACAGATGAATGGATAAACAAATTATTGTAAATACACACAATGGAATACTACACAATGACAAAGAACAATGATGAATCCGTGCAACATCTCACAGCATGGATGAATCTGGAGGTCATTAGGCTGAGTGAAATAAGTCAGTCACAAAAGGACAAATATTGTATGAGACCACTATTATAAAGACCCAAGAAAACGTTTACACACAGAAAAGAACAATCTTTGATGGTTAAGGGGGGCGGGGAAATCACTAACTAGATGGTGGGCAAGTGTTAACTTTGGTGAAGGGAAAGACAACACACAATATAGGGCAAGTCAGCACAACTTGACCAAGGAAAAGTCATAGAAGCTTCCTGGACACATCCAAACACCTTGAGGGACCAAATTATTGGAGCCAAGGGCTGGGAACCATGGTCTTGGGGGACATCTAGGTCAGCTGGCATGACATAGTTTATGAAGAAAATGTTCTACATCCTACTTTGGTGAGTAGCATCTGGGGTCTTAAAACCTACGAGAGTGGCCATCTAAGCTACATCTATTGGTCCCACCCCATCCAGAGCAAAGGAAAATGAAGAAAACCAAAGACACAAGGAAAATATTAGTCCAGAGAACTAATGTGCTACATGAATTGCAGCCTCCACCAGCCTGAGCCTAGAAGAACTGGATGGTGCCTGGCTACCACCACCGACCGTTCTGACAGGGATCACAATAAAGGGTCCGAGATGGAGTGGGAGAAAAATGTAGAACAAAATTCAAATTAAAAAGGAAAAAAAGACCAGACTTAGTGGTCTGATAGAGACTGGAGGAACCCCTGAGACTATGGCCCCCGGATACGCTGCTAACTCAGGACTGAAGCCATATCTGAAGTCCACCTTCCAGCCAGAGATTAGGCAAGCCTGTAAAACAAACAATAACACATGTGAGGAACATATTTCTTGGTTCAGTCAAGACCAGATGGACAACACCTGCCCAAAAGCAAAGATGAGAAGGCAGGAAGGGACAGGAAAACTGTATGAAAGTACACAGTGAAACTGCAGTGGAAAGGGGAGGAGTGCTGTCTCATTGCAGGGATTGCAACCAATGCCACAAAACGATATATAAATTTTTGCATGAGAAACTTATCTGTGCTGTAAACTTCCACCTAAAGCACAGTAAAATTTTTTAAAAATTATTCTTTGCTTCATTTTGCATTGAAAAAAATCTGTTGACTTCTACCTTTGATCCTTGCAGAAACAAATCCACGAATGGAATTTTACAGCTTCTTCCATTAGGGGAATAAGGTAAGAACATACAAAAACAATTGCTTTTTTACAAAGAATGATGATGTTTTATGCATTTAAATGGTTCCACTTACTTATAATGCATAATGTTCTCATTTTTAATGGGAACCAAAATGGACTATTTTCTGTTTCGTTGCCCTGCCAGAGCTGGTTCATAATGTGCTGTAGGGAGGGCTTCATGGCTTGTTATGAAAGTAGCTTTTCTCATAGCCAGCAGATAAAACTGTAGTCTCAAGCTTTTTAAGAATAACATTAGATCCATAGAAAATGTGTTGTCTTTCAGCCAGTCATGTTCAGAGTGCTCAGGGACGCTCAGATTTGAAGCCAGGACTTATTTGGTGATACTTGGATAGGGTCTCTCCTGGCTGGAGTAATGGAACAACCAGGAGTGTTGTTATTAGCAGGGGAGTGAGGTGTGGTATGTGTCAAGGAGAGGTGTGGCATTTGCTCTGAGTCAGGAGTGGTGACCTCCCTTCCCCAGGCAGGGCTAACACAGTGCAGCTATGCTTGGCACCATGCCAGCACATCCAAGGGTGACAGCAGTTCTGAAGTAGACGTGAGTTCTAATCCCCCTTCTGCCGTGTGACATTGGGAAAGTTGCTCAACCAGATCTCAGCTTCTTTCTCCGTCAAATAAAAGGCTTGAACTAGAACTCCCTGCCTTTGCTCTGATTCCGAGACTACTACAAGCATTGAACCAAATCCCTAACTGCCTTCAGATGCAGCATGATCCTGTCCCGAACAGAGCAGTGCTTAAATCAGAATAATGTTTATGTCACTTTAAAGGCAAACACATAATTTAAGATTAGAGCGTAATGCATTTGAGTAATACTACCCAGAAAATACAAGGTTATTAAAAAAAGAGTTGAACATTTTCAAAAATAAATTTAGTAACTAGGTTATGTAAGAACAGTGGTCCAGAGCCTTCTGTTTGTACCTCTTCATCTTCAGTAGCCTTGAGGAAATGAAGATACATCTCTGGCTGCCATTTCAGCCATCAACAGGGATGTACAAAGGGCCTAGGGTGGCTTAGACTCCGGGATTGATGTAACACGAAGAGCATGTGTTGAGCTTTCCCAATGTCATTCAACTGATATGATAGTTTTTTTACAGATTGGTTTTGAAAACTTGCTCATGTACAGCCTAGTTTTAATTCACCCTGTAGTATTACTTTTTCAACTCAGTAATTGTACAATCTATAGCATGTATGGAATGGGCAAAGAAGCTATGGATCTCAGGAAGAGAGGACGTTAGAAGGAGTGAGATAAAGTGACTTTGTTTGTTTGAAGGGATAATTCTAGAAGAGATTATAGCCTCATTCTGCATAACTGGACCTGGCAGAATGAGGACCGCTGTGGATACTTTGGCTTAGTGTGAGCAAGAACTTTCTAAGAGTGAAATGTATCAGTAGATGGAACGTGGTCCCTGTATTCTGTCACTGGATATGTTCATGCAGGCTGAGTATTGTCTGTTTGAAGAGCTGTAGAGTCGGGTCCAGGCTTGGGTAGGGATGGACCAGATATTACCTCGTGATCTTTCTTGAGCTAAGATGTGATGTGTATTTTTACTTCTTTAATATGGCCGTAAGTATTAGGTCTCGATGTTGTCCAAGTATAGAAATTGCCTTGATACTGTAATAAATTATTTCACAAACGCTTTTCTTACCTCATTCATGAAAGTATCAATTCCTCTAAGGCAGGGACCATATTTTATTCTCATTTCTGTCACCCAGATGCTCTGCTTAGCAATGAATACATAGTAATTTCTTGATACATATTAGTTAAAGGCAGTTGATAAATACAAGTCAAACATAAGCAAGATAAATGTCTCCTATTGTTTAAATTCCATAGGGAAATAAAAGGCAAATTTTGGGGATATTTGTTAAAGGGGTAATGAATCTTTAAAAAAATTGTTGAAAAAACTCTGTTATTAATTTTTCTCAAAAATTTAAAATTAGTATTTTAACTTAGGTTTAATAATTTTTCTTATATATTGAAATTTTACAGCATATCTAAGTTCGACGAGCGATGTTGTTTTCTTTACGTCCATGATAATTCGGATGACTTCCAAATCTACTTTTCTACTGAAAACCAGTGTAGTAGGTGAGTCATAGCTGATTCAGGTATTTACAGTCTAACTATGGTGAATCACTTTTACCAGGCCTTTGTTGTGAAAAAAAAAAAAATATTTGTTAATCTGCCTTTCTTGAAATTTTAACTTAAGGAAATTTTTTTACAGCTTTATTGAGGTATAATTCACATACCATGCAATTCACTGATTTAAAGTGTACATTTGATGGTTTTTAGTAGATTCAGAGTTGTTGCAGCCATCACCACAATCTAATTTCAGAATATTTTCATCTCCCCAAACAGAAATCCCAGACCCACTAGAAGTCACTCCCCGTTTCCTCCCAACCTCCTCCCGTACCAGCCTTAGGCAACCACTAATCTACTTTCTATCTGTCCTTAGGCAACCACTAATCTACTTTCTGTCTGTATAGATTTGCCTGTCCTGAACGTTTCATATAAATGGGATCATACAGTATGTGGTCCTTTGTATGTAGCTTCTTAGCATGTTTTCAAGGTTTATCCACATAGCAGCATGTATGAGAATTTCCCTCCTTTTTATGGCTAAATAATAGTCCATTGTATAGATAGACCACATTTTATTTTTATGCATTCATTAGTTGAAGGACATGAATCTTTTCCACTATTTGACTATTGTGAATAATGCTGCTATAAACAAGGTTTTGTATGTACATACGCTTTCATTTCACTTGGAGTAGAATTGCTAGGGTATATGGTAACTCTGTGTTTAACCTTTTAAGAAACTGCCAGACTGTTTTCCCGTTTTACCTTCTCATCAGCAATGTATGAGAATTTCAGTTTCTCTGCATCCTCACCCACAGTTGTTATTGTCCCTCTTCTTGATTATAGCCATGCTAGTAGGTGTAAAGTGGTATCTCATTGTGGTTTTGATTTTCGTTTCCCTAATGGCTAATCTTCTGGGATGAGGCTAACCCTTTTTATAGAGGAACAAATAAGTGCGAGGAATACTGTTTCACTATACCCTGTTCAGAGCCCTGGTAGAGTAGTGGTTAAGAGCTTGGCTGCTAACTGAAGGTCAGCAGTTCGAATCCACCAGCCGCTCCTTGGAAACCCTATGAGGCAGTTCTACTCTGTCCTATAGGGTTGGTACAAGAGTCAGAATGGACTTGACGACTGTTATGGATTGAATTATATCCCCCCAAAAATGTGTGTATCAATTTGGCTGGGCCATGATTCCAGGTATTGTGTGATTTTCCCTTGTGTGGTACATCCTGCCTCTATGATGTTAATGAGGGAGGTTGGGGGGCAGTTGTGTTAGTGAGGCAGGACTCAATCTACAAGACTGGATTGTGTCCTGAGGCAATCTCTTGAGATATAAAAGACAGACGTGAGCAGTGAGACAGGGGGACCTCATACCATCAAGAAAGCAGTGCCGGGAGCAGAGCGCGTCCTTTGGACTGGGGTCCCTGCGTAGAGAAGCTCCTAGTCCGGGAGAACACCAAAGAGAAGAAGGCCAACAGAGAGAAAAAGCCTTCCCCTGGAGCTGACGCCCTGAATTTGGACTTTTAGCATACTTTGACTGTGAGGAAATAAACTTCTCTTCGTTACAACCATCCACTTGTAGTGTTTCTGTTATAGCAGCACTAGATGACTTAAGACAACGGTGAAGGATTTTTTTGAGTTTAATGGCTGATGATGCTGAGCATCTATTCATGTGCTTGTTGGCCGTTCGTATATCTTCTTTGGTGAAGTGTCTACTCAAATCCTTTGCCCAATTTTCAAGAAGAAATTTAAACTTTTTAATTTGGAAAATCAGGCCTACAGGAAAGTTTCAAATAGCAGTACAAAGAATTTCCGTATCTGTTTTCCTAGGATACCCCAACATTAATACTCTACCCTTTGTTGCAGCCACTGTGCCAATCCAGTGGCTGCAACAATGGGCTCAAGCATAGCAAAGATTGTGAGGATGGTGAAGGACAGGCAGTGTTTCATTCTGTTATACTTAGGGTTACTTTAAGTCGGAACTGACTCGACGGCTGCTAACAACAGCAATACTTTACCTCGTTTATTTTTTTATTCTCTATATGCATATGATTATTTTTCTGAACTGTGTGACAGTAAGCTGTAGATGCGCAGTGTTCCATCACTCCTAAATACTGCCGTGTGTTTTTCCTAAGAATAAAGATGTTCAGCTTTGTGATCACAGTAGCTAACTAAATCAAGAAGTTAAGACTGATATGGTGCTATTCTCGAATCTGCCAACCTTATTCAAATTTCACTTGCTGTCTCACTGATGTTCTGTATTTATAGCAAAACAAAAGTTGGGTTTTTTTCTTTTTCTGGTCCATAATCCAATCCAGAGTCACACATTGCATGTAGTTGTCAGGTCTGTATATTCTCTTTTCATCTGGAACAGTTCGTCATCATTCTTTCTTTGTCTTTCTTGAAGAGTACACGCTATATATTTTGTATAGTCCTTCAATTTGGCTTTGTTTGAAGTTTCCTTAGGATTAGATGAATGTGACGCATTTGGGGCAGGAAAACCACAGAAGTGATGTTGTGTCCTCAGTGCCTCGCTTCACGAGATACATGATACCATTGTCTCCTTACTGGCAATATTGGATCATCTGGTGAAAGTGGCGTTTGCCAGGTTTCTTCAAGCTTGGCCCATTTTTTATTAGATTATTTGTCTTTTATTACTTAGTTGTAAAAGTTCTTTACATATTCTGCATACAGGTCCTTTATCACTTACATGATTTGCAAATATTTTCTTCCATTCCTTGGATTGTCTTTTTACTCTGTTGATGGTAACATTTGTAGTACAAAAGTTTTCCGTTTTGATGAAGTCCAATTTATCTATCTTTTTCTTTTGTCACGTGTGCTTTTGGTGTCAATTCTAAGAAAGCTTTGCTTAACCCGAGGTTTTCTATGGTTTCTTCTAAGAGTCTTAATAGTTTTAGTGATTACATTTAGGTCTGTGATCTATTATGAATTAATTTTGTATATGGTGTGAGGTAGGGGTCCAACTTCATTCTTTTGCATGCAGATATCTAGTTGTCCCAGTACCATTTGTTGAAAAGACTATTTTTTGTACATTGAATTGTCTTGGCAGCCTTGTCAAAAATCAATTGACCATAAATATAAAGGGTTATTTCTGAACTCTAAATTCTATGACATTGCTCTGTATGGCAGTACCACACATTCTTGATTATTGTATGTTTGTACTAAGATTTAAAAGAATGTGTGAGTCTTCCAACTTTGTTCTTCTTTCTCAATATTATTTTGACTATTCTGGGTGCTTGCATTTCCACATGAATTTAGGATCTGCTTGTTAATTTTTGTAAAAAAAAATCCAACTGAGTGTTTTATAGCGCTTATGCTGAATCTGTAGGTCAGTTTGGGAACTATTGCCATCTTAACAGTATAAAGCCTTCCAATCCATGAACATGATGCCTTCCCGTGTATTTAGATCTTCTTTAATTTCTTTCAGCAGTGTTTTGTAGTTTTCAGTGTACAAGTCTTGTACTTCTTTTGTTAAATTTATACCTAAATATTTTATTATTTTTGATACTATTGTAAATGGAATTGTTTTCTTAATTTGATTTTTGGAGGGTTCATTGCTAGTATATACAAATATAGTTAATTTTGTATATGGATCTTGATTTCTGCAACCTTGCTGAACTATTAGTTCTAATGGTTTTTTAGCGAATTCCTTAAAATGTTCTACATACAGAATCATGTCATCTTTAAACAAGTGATAGTTTTAGTTCTTCCTTTCTGATCAGGATGCTTTTATTTCTTTTTCTTGCTTAATTGCCCTGGCTAGAACCTCCAGTCCAATGTTGAATACAAGTGGTAAGAGCAGACGTTCTTGTCTTGCTCCTGATCTTGGGGGAAAAACCTTAAGTCTTTTACCATTAAGTATGATGTTATCTGTAGAGTTTTCGTAGATGCCCTGTTGAGTGTTTTATCATGTAATTTAAAAAAATGTAATTCATTTTGTCTCAGATAATACATAATCACAACTAATATTTTTAAACTAAATATCAAACAGGGAACCCTTGATTTACAACCCTTAACTTAAGAGTTGGAACAAGAGTGATGATAATTAACATCTTGTGATACTTGCTGTTTTAGGTTTTGCTCTTTGGTCAAAGAGATGATGACCAACATAATGGGCAGTTCAGGGGAGCTGGAGGGAGAGAGTGATGGAGATACGTTAGAGGTGAGTCATGGAGGAGCTAGAACATGGAAACACTTTTCTATTTCTTAATCTCCTGATTGAGAAGCATAAAAAGAAGATTTCTTATTCTTCATGTGAAATTTTTTATATGTATATTTTAAATACTCATTTATGAACCAGCCACCTATCAGCATCCAGGACTTTCAGAGATTACGTTTAACGTGTCTCTACAAAAAAACCTCATTACATTGGGATCTTCTTAGTCAGAGACTAAGAAAAATCTGTCCATAGTCTGAATTTTTTTTATGAAAAGATATTTCTAAGCGGATTACTAATATTTATGAGGACTAGTTAGCCAACTAGAAACAAACTTTTCGTTTATGCCTCAAATGGCTTTAATTATATCATCCTGCATATAGTATGTTAAACATAAAATGTTAAAAAATAATTTTCAAGAAAGTAGGATCATTGTAAGCTTTTTTGGACACCACAATTATAGTCTGCAGTTAATCTACCATTATAGCTACATTTAAATATTGCACAATTATTCCAATTAGTCACTAAGTCAGGTTCTCCCAGTGACTGCAGTTTAATGAGATTGTACTGTACTTTCAAGTTAGACTGAAATTAATTCCTTGAGGTTTCTTTCTGAAAATATCAAATGGATCAATTTTAATAATGGGGTTAGGTACTAGAAGTCTTAGCTTCAAATCAAAGTTTGTTGTAGAAATGAACTGAGTGGTGGGTGCACTTTGAAGGTAACAGTGGGGGACAGAGAAAGTGTGAGATAAAAACCTTTTATGGAACAGGCTGGTTTCGAGTAAAATCAGACAGTGATGGGGACTTGCTAGTAATCTTAATTGTCACAAGCATCCCCTAGAAATAGATGTAATGGGACACACACATACACACACTGTTCTGTGTAAAAGCTGCACTTCTGTAAGTAAACACAGTGGAGCATATAAAACAGCAGAAGTAATTCATTGCTGCCTGCCTACTTTAAATAAGTGTTGCTCATTCTGGAGTTACCTTTATTTTAATCATCAAGAGGAATCAACTGTTGTGCAGCTGTGCATGACTGCTTTAGGCAATAAGATTGGGGGAACAAAATATCAGTGTTAATTGTAGGTTGAAGTTTTGAAGTATGTGTTCAGTACTTAGATCGAGACATCTAAAAAAGGGGAAACTCCAACGTACATACTTTGTAATGAGACCATTTTAATTTGATTGACCTTTGATTCTGGGCAATAGAAAGAAGTTCTCTCCCGACACGTTCATAACAAGTCATGCAGGACGACACCTGTGCTGGGGTACTTTGTGTGCTTAGAAGCATTTTGGGGGAAATCTCTAAAAGGTGAACCAGCAGAGTTAACCTGTGAGCCATATTTCTTAACTTCTCGGATTCCATTTCATAAAATCATTTTATGAATACGCAAATAAAAGTACACACTCTTTTTACTTATCGATGTGGTCAGTTTACAGAGACCAGGTCATTATGCAAAATGGTTACGGGAGAATGGAGGATGACTATATCATTACATAACTGCCAAATCACTGAGAATTATGGCCCAGCCAAGTTGACAGATAACCTTAACCATTACAGCCAATGTTACCCTTGCCTCGCACCTTGGCATTCATTACTGCCAGACGTACGTTATTAATGCGCATAATAGGCAGACAGTAGATTTTTTTCTATTGTTATCCACGCAAAATGTTGGATAACGAGATAGTCAATAAGTGAGGAGAAGGTACAAATGATTGAAAAGTACACGACCTAAGAAAGGTGATGGCCTTATACTCAAATGGTTATATATAAATTTAAAAATTTCTGGGCAATGTTTGTGCTTTGAGGGGTCTCTCCACCAAAAGTTGTATGCTTATTTTGCCCTATTGTTTTGTCCTTTTTAGTATGAGTATGACCATGATGTGAATGGAGACAGAGTTGTGTTGGGGAAAGGCACCTATGGGATCGTGTATGCCGGAAGAGATTTGAGTAATCAAGTGCGAATAGCCATCAAAGAAATCCCAGAACGAGATAGCAGGCAAGTCGGGGTGGCCATCTTGCGTTTTCCAGTGACCATCTCAATACCTATAGTCCCGTGTCCACCACTGATGGTACAGAGGACTTAAGAATAAAAGAATTACATCATCTAAAAGTTTGTAATTCTCTTGTTAAAAGGATGATTTGCTTATGTTCTCTGTGTGTTATAACTGGATTAAGAAAATGGAACCACCTCACTTAGAGGCATATGGATTGCAGAGGGTCATATTTTAAAAGACCTCTTCGGCCCCTAGCAGCCTGCTAGGGCTGGTATGATGATTCCTATTTTGCAGATAGGAAGTTGTAGTAGCATGGGAGCCAAGGGAAGAGAAAGTTTCCCGAAAGAAGGGATGGCCAGCAGTGCCAGCAGTACTGGCGAGGTATCACGCAGACCCCAATCCTTTGGCAGGTGACATTGGCTTTGTTTTTTCTCAACAGGTACTCTCAGCCTCTGCATGAGGAGATCGCCCTGCACAAGTACCTCAAGCACCGCAATATCGTTCAGTACCTCGGCTCCGTTTCTGAGGACGGCTACATTAAGATATTTATGGAGCAGGTGCCTGGAGGTGAGTAATCTCTAGGCTTCTGGTCCCACACTCCAGAAATCCTGAGTGAAAATATAGCATGAACATCCTTATCTCTCTGGGCATTTGTTCAATGTTGAAAAGCATTTGTTTCTCAGAAGAGTTGGAGACACACTTTCCAATGTCATATAAACAGTCTATTTCTAGTTTGTCTGTGTATTCAATCAGATATTTACTGTCTTGTCTACTAAGGTCCAACAGTTGAGCTGAGTGTGGGAGACATAGGTGAAGATAGCCTGGTCTCTGGCCTTGAGGCACTCACTGTCTAGGAGTTTAAAGACGGTGTAGAGAAGGACGGGGAAAAGGGGACGTAGGTCCTAAAAATGGCATTGCAAAAAAAAAATGTTGTGAACTAAATAAAACCCCTGTGCTCTATCCACAAACTCCCCAAACGCAAGCAGAATAGTGCAGGAGTTAAGAGTTTCTCGAATCTAGTTGGAATCTCCACCCCTCCCATCTACAAGCCGGAGACCTCGGGCAAAATATTTTACTTCTCTGTGCTCTCAGTTTTCTGATCGAAGAAATGACTAAAGAATTGTTGAGTGAATTAAATCAGATAATGTGCGTAAAACTCTTAGAACAATGCCTGGCAGAGAGCAAGAGATCAGTAAGTGCTCATTGAAATAATAGTAAGAAGCCGACTACCATATCTTTCTCCGGCAGAGCGGCTGGTGGGTTTGAACCGCCGACCTTTCAGTTAACATACAAGGCCTTAACCAGTGCACCACCGGAGCTCCTATAGTAACAATAGTTATTATTAAATATAATAATAGCAATAATATAACTAATCATCATTATTGCTATTATCTGAATACAAACACAATCTTCAGTTAGAAATCTGATGATACTCATTCATTTATTCAACCAATGCTTACCAAGAGCCTACTCTGTGCCAGGTAGTGGGCTAGATTTAGAGGGTTACATTAGGGGTGAAGGAAGTACAGTTTCTTCCTTCAAGTTGCTCATGGTTTAGTAGAAAATACATAAGTTGAGTAAACACATTGCATTTAGCCCAGAGGCAATGATGTTGGGGTAATTGCTTAGGTCAGGTAGAAACATCACCTCGCTTTATTTGAATTGGATTGAAATGTGTTGTAAATCCTAAACCCTAAACTTGTGGATATATTCCCATTTAGGAATAGGGTTTTCCGTATTATGTTAATGAGGCCATATCAGTGAGGGTGTGTTCTAAGCCAGTCACCTTTGAGATATAAACCACGCTGACTAGGCAGAAACAAAAACAAGATGGGGATAGATAGGTGTGAGGCCACATGAAGATCACCAAGTGACTGAGGAACAGAAGCTGACAAGAGAGAAGGACCTTCCCCCAAAGCCAACAGAGAGAGCCTTCTCCTGGAGATAGTGCCCTGAATTTGGACTTCTAGCCTCCTAAACTGTGAGAAAATAAATAGCTGTTTGGTAAAGCCACCCACTTGTGGTATTTCTGTTATAGCAGCACTAGATGACTAAACCATTGCTGAACTCTTATAATTGACACTTTGTCACTCTGACGAGTTTTCTGCTGTGTCCATTTCTAGGAAGCCTTTCTGCTCTTTTACGATCAAAATGGGGGCCAATGAAGGAGCCCACTATCAAGTTTTACACCAAGCAGATCCTGGAAGGCCTTAAGTATCTCCACGAAAACCAGATAGTGCACAGAGACATAAAGGTAGTTGCTTTTCTAAGCCACAAGGTTTCCTTTTCATCATATCAGATGATGACAACTGTCGATAATGTCTGCTCCTTGACTGCATCCCAGAAGGGATACGATTTAGCATGACGGGACCCCAAAGGGGGATGTCCAGTCTCCCTAGAAACTTGTGACATTTTCCTTAAAGTCCAAATCTGTTTTACATTCGTTTGTTTAAATCTGTCTTCCAGTGCTTAATGCTCTTCTATTTCTAAAGGGTGATAATGTTCTGGTAAATACCTACAGTGGAGTGGTGAAAATTTCTGATTTTGGAACCTCTAAACGTCTGGCAGGAGTCAATCCGTGTACAGAGACTTTTGCTGGTAAGTGGAACAAGCTTGGCATGGGAAGCCAACTTGGAGTTCTGCTTTCTGTAGAAGATACAGTCATTCAAGAGTTATTTACTGAGCACCTTCTCAGTATGGAGTGGGTAATTAATACTTGAGGTGAACAGTGTATTGTCCCCACTGTCAAATTGTAACTTTGTCATAATGATGTAGTTAGCCAGCTACCGTGGCAACAAGATTACCTTGCTTTCCACTTTGCCTTTCAAAAGTTGGGTAGGTATAGTGCTCTGCTCGAGGTTTTCTGAGGGTTTCTCAACCAATAAATCAATAGCATGTTATTCCAAATTGTGGGTAATTCCAAATAACAGCCATTCCTCAAACAATTTATTAGAAAATTTTATTAGTCATAAAAATAGCCTGTCATCTTAGTGAATTCTGGTCCCTTATGTTTTGATATGATTGTGTTTCCCGAGGACTCTAATTCTTCTGGAGAATATTCTAAAAGTGTTTGAGGAAAATGGATTTTCTTTTCTATATGTCAGAGACCATAATTTTAGTGTTGGGAAGGACTGAATCCAAAGAGTGGCATAAAATTACCTGCTAGATTTACATTTACAAGATCAATGAATAGAATAATGATCAAAAGCTGTCGTATGCCATTTTGAAATTACTACTTTAAAACAACTGTAGCAAAAATTTTGATCCTTGAAAGGAAGTCCTGATTTTGAATAAGTGAAGGTTTAAGTTTCCCTAAGGAATGATATGGAGCCCTGGTGGCACAGTCGTTAAGAGCTTATCTGCTAACCAAAAGGTTGGCAGTTCGAATCCACCAGCCACTCCTTGGAAACCTTATAGGGCAGTTCTTTGCTGTCCTGTA